ACTTAATCCTTACTGACTACCTGGAGAAACAACAATCCCTTTATATTGATGAGGATACTAAGCCTCACTGTACTAAAGTGTTTCATCCAGGATCACCAGTTGGGTTTGTCCTCTTCAAAACCTGAACTAGTCTGGGCCCAGATCCTTCTCTCTGCATAGCCTTGGCATTGTCATGCCAGAGTATCCTTGGCTACCTAGTAGGGAGCAGTTTAGTTAATTAAGTAGGCCTCCTCGTGCCAAGCAATCCTTCTGGCTTTTCCCTCACTCAGTTGACTTACTTGTTTTACAGAATTGACCACATTGGATAGTTATTTTAATGGCAAACAAAATTATGCTTGTTCACTTGTTCATTTATTGTCTTTGACTGAGTGTCCAACTGTAGGAACTAGCTAAGTGTCCAGGATCAGATATACCTAATTATAGTCCAAGGGCAGCTACTTATTACTTGTGAAATCTTGGACTTGAGTACTCAACCTCTTTAAGTTTCCATTACCTTATTGTTAGAAAGAAGATATTACTTCTTCCCTGGTTTTGTTAATGAGATTAAATAAAGTATCTATTCAGCTTCTAATAGAGTGCCTGATTATTAAGTTTTGTTACACAGTAGCTGTTATTACTGCATTGAACACTGCAGTTACTAACCTTAAGATTTAATCTCAATGTTATCTTTGTTGTATGAGCTTCTTCACTGAACACCTTGACTTAGTCATTTAAATAGGCAGAGCTGTTTACTCCTCCGTGAACATTGCTTCTTTTTATGAACCTCAAGTTGTGTTCTAAATTGGCTCAAGTCCCTTGTCCCTGTCCTCTCTTACAATCACAGACGCTTTTGATACAAATTCATTCATCTTTTGCTGCTTTGACTCTTCTTTGTGCCTAACATCTCAGTGTTCTATGGAGGTTGTTAAAGATTCATGGTGAATGGATAGGTCCATCCTCTTTTGTGCATCCTTGCTAACGCCATTGATGGTATTACTCTGGTTTTGATATGTGCAAAGAAAATAAAGCTCTGAACCAGATTTCTTGCTTTCTGTACAAGTTCTGCACTGGATAGAGAATCAATCTCTCCTCTCTTTCTCTCTCTCCTTCTCTCTCAATGGGTGTTGAATCTAGGGCCTTGTACCACTCAACTACATCTCAAGCTCTCTTTTAACTTTATTAAAAAAGAAAAGAAAGAAAGAAAGAAAGAAAGAAAGAAAGAAAGAAAGAAAGAAAGAAAGAAAGAAATTGCTGAGCGTGGTGGCGCACACCCTTAATCCCAGCACTTGGGAGCCAGAGGCAGGCAGATCTCTGTGAGTTGGAGGCCAGCCTGGTCTACATAGTGAGTTCCAGGTCAGCTGAGGCTACAGGGAGACCCTGTCTCAAAAAGACCGAAAAAAAAAAAAAAAAAGAAATTGAGCCAGGGTCTCACTAAGTTGTCCGGGATGGCCTTTAACACAGTGTGTAACCCTGGCAGGCCTTGCTTTTGCAATTCTCATGCCTCAGTATCCCAAGCAGCTTGTATTATAGGCCTTTGCCAACAGGCCAGCTGAATCCATTTGTAATTTTTGCACCTTTTTGTTTTCTCTACTGCTATACTGCAGGCTTTTTCTTGTTCTTTCTTAGGACTTTATAATAAGACTTACTTTCCTTTAACTTTTATTTCCCACATCACTCTAAGATATACATTTACCCTCCACCGTCATTAATACATTACCATTTGACTATCATTAGGCTGTCACTCTATAACACTCTTGAGAAAGAAAGAGAGTCCTTATTTTAAATAGGCCTGATACTTTGCTAAAGAGGTTAGTGCACTATCTAAAATTCTATTCTTGTCAAGAATAGGCTTTTGAAATATTAAGAAGAAATGAAATTTAGAAGAGCTACTAAACCATAAAAAATCTAGGAAGAATAAAATAAGTTAAAAATGGGAGAAAACAGTACAATCTAAATTATCAAAAGACAAAACTCACAGAAAGTTCTATGGAAAGATTTGGCCTTATTTTGAAATGAATTAATACATAATAAGGAAGGACTTGGATATTCAAATTGCATCTAAAGTCATCTGAATAGAAAGTTGTTTAAAATCCTGAAGACACTCTGGTCTGTGTCATAAGAAAACAGAATATTTGAAACTGAATTTTTAGACTACAATGCTAGAGACTGTAGTGTTGACTAGAAGGGAAAAGGAAAGGGGGATATTCAATAACTTTTCCAAAGAAATGCTTTGCAAGAGATGATGGGGTAGTTCCTCTACTTCCAATGAAGCCTAGATGAGACAGTATGCCTGAAGTAAAAGTGGGCAGGTTCATGTTAGAATACAGAAAGACCTTTGGATTCTGAGATTCTCGAAGATGTTACTGGGCAGAACAGTGTTTGCCCCACAGCAGGGCTGGACAGTTTTCCAAGCCTGCACACCACTGGACAGGGTTTCTAGGCACAGTCCTGTGATTCCTCCCACTGCATTCTGGGATGATGTGACTTGAACCAGGAGAAAAACCTATGGAATCATATTAACTCCACACTGTACATCAAAAGGTGGGTGGTAGCCAAGCCAGGGAGTAAGGCAGCATTCTGCAGCTGGGAGGTCAGACCAGCCCATTTGCCTAAGAATTGTACAAATATCACAATAAATGGTCATGAGAAATGGCAGTTAGCTCCTTTTGCCAAACATAAGATAAATTTGTATTTTTACTTAAAACTAAGTATTTTCTGATACAAAAGAATTGATCAGGTTGATGTATCAAACAGAAAACATTGCATGCTGACAGCAACCTGGAGACAGTAGAGAGATGAATGATTCCTTAAGCTGCTTCTGTGGAAAAAATTCAATCAAATGCCACTAGCTTTCGCTTGACAAAACTTTGACATATGTCCCTTGACCTTTACCAACTACCCTTTCACGTTTGACACTTAACATTTGCTACATGATTAAAATTCAGCGTTAATTAATTTCAATGCTATCAGTTAAGCTATATTTAGCTAAGAACACTCACTTTTGTCTTTTGTGAGTAGCACTGCAGTGTTATTACAAAGAGGTAGTCAGGAGGGCAACAGAGATACGAGAAGAGAAGAATGATTCAGTGTGCAGATAATTGTTTCGAGTGAAATTTAGCTTGGTATTTTTGTTCCTGTCCTCAGTAGAACTGAGATTTAGCACCTCCGGCTGGCATTTAGCCCCCACCCCCACAGAGAAGGGGGCTGTGCTGGGTGGATGCTGAGAATGAGCCACACCAGAATTAAATTATAGCACAGTTCTAACACCGACAAGGATTCTCTCTGGCCAGCTCTTGTGTACAAACCTGGTGATCCCAAAAGAGAAGCAAGGCATTGCTAACAAGGCTGTCCATATGGTGTGGCACTGTCCTGGATGGGGGAGGTTGAGTGCTTGCTAGAGAGCATAGTTTCCAAACTGGTGACCATTCTTGATGCATTTCTGGTGGATGCCTGCTGCTAGTCAAAGCAGATTTGGAAGCCTAACCTTAAAAAGTTTCCCATGAACTTCCCTTATTAATGACCTGTGTCAGTGTGATCAAAAATCTTATTAGAAATGGATCCCCCACCAATATCTCCTCTTTCCCTGAGTTTTTTTCAAGTCAGAATACATTTTTACTGACTTCTTTATTCTGTGTATTTTCTTCTGTGAATTCATTATGGCAACAATGTGGTTCGGTAAATCTTTGTACTTGACCCTCAAAATGCTGTAGAACCATTATAATTGTTATTCTTTACGATATTGGTATGAGCTTGGAGTACAGTGGTTTGCTGCGCCACAGAAATACTTCTGTCATGTACAGGACAGAAGAAGAGGCTCAACCCTCACTTGATGTTATAGGTCAAGCAATTTATATATAAGTTGCTGGAGATCTAACAATAGGTGTTGGTTTCTTTGAGATAGTATAAGCAGATATCCTACAATTGTTTAAAACAAAATAAAACTTTGTAGGATTTAATTTGTCTCTCAAAAAAATTTGGCTACAGCAATTCAACTTCTATGTTGCAGAACCTAGCTCATGCCATTATCAAATCCTCTATCCTTAGTAAATCGATTGGTTGGTTACTGGCAGATTGTGATTTATCAGACCAAAAATTCTAGTCTCCATCTTTCAGGTTGACTGTCCAAATAACAGAGTATCCAGGTGAATGTGTCTGGTGGACACTAGTAGGATGTCACTGCACTCGTAACTGACCTTAGCTCTTAACCTAAGCTGAGTCTACTACCTTTGTTTCTGATGAGACATTGAAGGCCCATCTTGGCCACAGCACAGAAGAACCTAATTAGGTTCTAGCTTGACATCTGTGGCTTTTTCATAATTGCTTTTTGTTTTGTTTGTTTCTTAACTCCAGGGTAGTAGAGTACTATTTTTGAAATCTTGTTCTATGATTAAGGTCTTGCACCACTGAAAACATCCCTGGCTTAGCCTCCCTGCTCAGGTCTCTGAACTGGGCTTCCTGGACTTCTCCAATTAGCTTTGCTCATAGGCTTGTTTAACATTCCTGTGTCCTTCACCTCCATAGTGACGGGCTCCTTGGACACTCTGATTTGCCTTTCACTGGAATGATCCCCTTCTTCTACTGAACAGAGTAGAGTACATGTGTGCCCACATGGCTCCTCTGGGCCAGGTCCTAGATACCCCCTTCCCTCCTTCTTGACTTTGATCAGGTCCTGCCATGATCTAATGCGAGAGTAAGATGAGCTTTGATATCACAGTGGCACACTTAGATGAAAGAGGGAGGTGATCAACTCTGGTTAAAAGTAATTAACTCTTCTTAAGAATGGGAAGATTTTTTTTTATAAATGTAGTTTTCTATTTGTAAGTCTTTCAGTTGTTTTTGGCTTTACTTGGTGACTATAAGAAGAAACATTTATTTCAACTATTTATTTTGAAATGAAAATGAAAAGATCTCTCTGTTTTATCATATTTTTCTTCCATGTGGACCAGATAGATGGCTGTCCATGTGCCTGGAGATTGAAGACAGTTTCATTTTATAAAATGTTTTTGTTTTTCTACTGTCAGGTATTACACAATGGCCTTGTCATGGAGATGAAGCATCCCACTGTGGGGAAGATCTCAGTCCCAGGTTGGAAACTTTTTGTTCTTCTCCTTAACACCTTCATTCATTAATTGTCCACACGCTGGCTACTGTAGGTAGTTGAAAACACTCTCAAGAACTTATTGAAACAATCCAAATGTGTTATCTTGGATAAGAAAGGAATCTTACGACCACAGCTTCTATATGATCAGACTGCAGGCCTGGTGTCTTATCTCCAGGGAATATTGGAGTACGTTGGTGACAAAAATGTTTGTTTCCTTACTCTACTTTGTGAAATTATCATTATTATTTATTTATATTTCATATGTATGAGTGCTTTACCTGCATGTATGTAGTGTGCCCATGTTATACAATGCCTGGGGAAGCCAGAAGAAGGCATCAGATCTCCTGGAACTGGAGTTATGAATAATCGTTAGCCATCATGTGGATGTTGGGAACTGAACCCAGATTTTCTATAAGAGTAGCCAGTGTTCTTAACCACAGAACCATTTCTCCAACCCCCACTTTGTGCAGTTATGTACACAGAAATATGTAAATACTTATCAGCAGACAATTATAGATATGTTATAGTTAAGAAATATAGCATGCTTCATGTGAGGACAGGAAAGGAAAACAGGAATGGTGGATATATAAACTTCTCTCAGTTTAGGGTATAGATCCTGGCTTTCCAGACCAAGAAATGAAATTTTTTCACTAATTCTATAATAGATTTTCCTAAAGTTAACTCATACCAGATAAACTCACCAAACTCTGCTGCTTAAGCAAGAATGCCAGCCTTTTCACTTCCAGAAAGAGCCATCTTTGTGGTAGCCTGGACTCCGCTATTTCTAACATTTGAGAACAACTTGATGATTTCCTGCTACTGCCCAAATAATGACAATTGGCAAGTGAAAGCATGCAAGAGAGAAAAGTATGATGGATGGAATAAATTGGAAGAGAAAATGTTGATGTATAAGAATACAAGGAAGATTCTGTGTAGATAAGGAAGATGATTTAGTGTCATATAAACATACTGTCTAAATCTTATGTTGTATAAAAATGGTGTTGATGAAGGCTAAGAAGGGCATTTATTAATTCATTTAGTAACATGTAGCCCATGTCAGACATTGTTTATGTTCTAAAAACACAAAAATAAACCAGCAAATTTGACCCCTACACACATGGACTTTATACATAGCAATGCATCAAATAATATGAACTATGAACAAACACTTCTAAAATTGCAAAAAATAAACAAAACTGCCATAGAAACTGACTGGGGCCATACAGGCTGCGGTAGTTTGATTGGTCTTTTGTAGGCTTTCTTATAAACTAAGATTGAAGAATAAAAAGAAATTGAAATTTGAGGAATGAGAGAAGAGCAGATGTTATGTTCTGACAGTAAAAATCTGGGTGTGGTCTAAGCAGATATGAACGATCAAGGCGGAGAGTGGGGCAGGAAAAGATGCTGAGGATGTAGACAGAGGCTCCTGTCCATAATAAGCTGGGTTTAGCCTAATATTAGTAGGAGAATGAATTAACACAATTTGAGACTTAAAGTAGGGTGTCAAATCAGGAAGTTATTACAAGAGTCTACATTATAGTCTCTTAAATCTTCTCAGAACAAAAACTGAAATCATAGTACTTTTAGTCTGAGAAGACAGCAAAAGCATTTTGTGCAAGTTTTTAATTTTTTAACAGTGAAGCTAACTTTCCATTAAGTCTCTACATTTAAAGCAGATCAAAGAAGAGTTTGCTGAATGATAGGCTGAGTCCAATCAGATGGCTTCCCTCCTTTCTCCCTCTCCCATGCCGTGGCTCTCCAAATGTCTCTCCTTAGAGCCATGGACACTGTTGTATGAACTTTTTCTGAGGAGACATGAACAAACATTTTCTCATCCCAGATAGGGCACCAACCCAGTAACAGAAACCAAGAAAAGGTTCCAACTAAGTGTACCTTGGGGAGCCAGTGAGTTTAATTACTTATAGGAGCATGAGGGTGGGGGTGGATGAATTACAGAAGTGTGGCTGCTTATGGGTGGCAATACCACGGAAGAAAAGTATCTCCTCTAGTAACTGCTAACTACATACATACCTGGGAAAGGGGAGACCTTATGAGCCCCTCTCCCTTAAGCAGTGGTTATAAATTCTTGAGTGGGGCCCTGTGAGCTCCTCCCATCTCCACAACTGGGTGTCATGGGAATAATCAGAGCTGCTGACCATTCATATCATATCAGGAGGACAGTGTTTCACAACAGACTCCAAACCACAGTTCAATAACCACTATCTAATTTGACCCCATAGGTTTATAGATGAAGTCACAGAGACATTGGAATCCCTACTATATTAGAGAAAAGGGTGATCATCTGAAAGTAAATACAACTGCTAGCTTTATCATGAAGACAACCAGATATTGGTGGCTAACCTTAAAGAAACTCATTAGAGATAGCACTCTGTATCCAAAGTGTGAATTTGCTAGTTTTCATGGTAAAGGAATGACGAATCAGTTTTAGGAAAGGGATTGTTTTTTTTTTTTTTTTTTTTTTTTTTTTTTTTTAAAAAAAAATTTTTTTTTTTTTTTTTTAGAGAAGATGAAAAAATTTTTTGGAAGGGGTTTTTTTTTTTTTTTTTTTTTTTTGGTTTTGGTTTTGTTTTTTTAATTCCTAGAGGGAAAAATTATTCCCTTTGTTCATTTTAACTTGTGAATGTACCAGGTAGATATTGTCACCGTAATGGTGTGTAATAAAGAACCACAAATCTCTATCTGATCCACTGTTTGTTTTTCCTGTGTGTGGATCAGCTGGGAGATTCTGCTATAGGTAGGGCTCAGCTAGATGGCTTTGCCTCTGGTGACAAGTCTGGCTGGCTTGACTTCTCCACACAGGTTGGGCTCAGTTCTGCTCTTTGTGCCTTTTTTGTTTCCATGGCAAATGACTGGGAAAAAATTGTAAACAGAAACCATAATGCCACTTAAGGTATTCACTAACTGCAATCTCTTTTATTTTTTACCTCCCTTTAGAAACTCTATTTTTCTTACTTTAGATATTATAGAGCTCGTGCATGTTTTGATTGTCTGTCTTACTGACATTCCTTTCCACATGAGAATTATCCAACTTGATACAAAATGATTTGTAGAGTGAGAATGGGATGTCTTGAGGACAGCACATGTGGATTCCTCCTGAATGGGAAATGCTGATGCACTTACAAGAGGTGCTGTTTATCTCCTGCCTTGGTGCATCCCAGTGAGAGGATACCTAGACAGAACAGGAGGATTCACATGCAAAAGGACTCAACAGTAGTCAAATTAAATTTTTCTGAAGATTGGAACCTTCATTGATTTTATTTACTTACCATAGTTTTGCCTTAAGAGATGTGCCTCCATTGAAGTCCTCTAGAATGCTGTGGAAAGAAACAGAGTCTCTCACAATGCCTCAGTGAAATGGGTATGCCAAAAGCAGAAATGCATGATAGAGTTAGTGACTTTAGACTCACTGTTTTCTAGTTTTGTGGTGGATACATATTTTGGATTTATTAAATGTAGTTCTATAGATTTGTGCATAAGCATCTCCATCTTCACATTTGTAGTAAACATTCTTATAAATATTGATAAAACACTCCTATATTTCCTTTGGTATTAATCAACTTTGACATGCGCTGAATTACTATATGTTTTACTAGTTTGCATGAAGCTTTTGGTATCAGTCATTATTGGTAACTTGTCTCTTGAAAAAGAATATATTGGTTTCTAAATACAGAGGCTCATTATATAGCCCAAGCTGGCCTGTATAGACTAAGCTAGCCTCACATGTGCAGCAGTACTCCTGCTTCTCCTTCCTGATTGCTGGGGTTATAGCTGTGAGCTACCAAATCTGGTCTATGAGCAGTGATTATTATGCAGCATTCCTTAGAGATGTCAAATTCATGTGCCATTCCTTCAGATCAGGGTTGCTACACATGAACCAACTGGTTATACCTTAAAGTACTGCTTAACCAGTGTTTAATAGACTTTGATCATGATTGAGAAATGACCAAGTTAAAACCTAATCAAAGAGCCCAAAGCCATCTATGCTAATGTCCCTGAGTCTCTACTGTCTGAGGGCTGAAAGTGGGAGCTGGAAATGCAGCTTGGACAGAAACTTCAGTGCCAGCTTAGCAGATGCTCTCATAGATTGATTTTAGAAGTGATTTCTGTCTCCACTGAAGACTTCTGTAAAACTTGTAATGTCCTGAATTTTAAACTGCGGAATTGATTGAAAAATGTGCTTAATACGTATAGAAATTAAAAGACATGTTGAGGTTCTTAACACAGTAATTCTGGACCAAGAGACAAACTATATAAAATCACATGACTTGTCAATTTAATGGAAAGATCTTGCATGAATTATCAGGTTCTAAAAGACTGCCAGTTCCCACTGAGCAGCTCACTGCATCGTCTTCTAGTAGCCCTGGCTGTTGCCTATCAGCCAGAGCAGAGCATGATGTCCTTCCACACTCTGTGGAGGTGCCAAATCAGCCTTAGTGCTGAGCACTGGACTTCAAAAGATGTCATTGCAATCGAGTTTGATATGTAGTTCTAGAGTTTCCCACCATAACCTTTTTCAGATTCTTACCCATGAATATGCACTGTGGTCATTTGACTCCAGAAACTTCTGGGAAGTGTTCAGTGGTGAGTGTGTCAGTGCTCTGGAGGGGAACAGTCTTCTAAGCATGTGGAAGGACTCTAAATTAAATTACCCTGCCTGCTGGTCCTTGATCTGTGTTTTCCAAAAATCAGCTCCAAATTCTTTTAAAATGAAACTTTCCCTACATTCTTCCCCCATAGTGTTTTAATATTCACATTAAGAACTTATCAATTTAGCTCGCGGCTGCGGGATGAAGGAAGAGTCACCACCATGAATAAATGCAGTTTGAACCAAATTATGGGAAAGGATTTTTTTTTTTTTTTTGAGACAGGATACCCTGTAGCCCCAGCTATCCTGGAACTCACTATGTAGATCAGGCTGGCCTTGAACTCACAGCGATCCGCCTGCCTTTGCCTCCTGAGTGCT